AGTCTCACGGAATAAGTAAAATGACAATCAATAGTGGTATTTCCAGATCACTGAACCTATGCTACACCTCCTAAATCATTTCACAACATCTGACCAGAGTCAAGCTCAACAAGGCGTTCTTTCCCCACTGACTATCCCAATGACAGAGGTCCTACTCTTTCACGCCCAAGTAAACATCCTATGTTTCTGAAACTAGGAACTCAAGGCTTCAGAGTGTACTGTTAGGGCTGATGGTGGGGTTTAGGGTTTAGGGCTTAGGGTTTAGGGTGTAGGGTTTGGGGTTTAGGGTTTAGGGTTTAGGGTTTAGGGTTGAAGCTTGACAAATGTTGCGGGGCCCGGGGGATTGTCGTCCCATAGCTCGTCGCTTAAGTGATACAAGTCCCGACGGGCCTTGTCTGCAATGGCCGGATTGCTCAGCTCAGATTTACAGCCCCAGCCAGAGGAGACGTTCACGATGGAAGCCCGTGTGTCCAGATGGGACTTCAATTTGTTGACCAGCTCCACCTAACTACAGGCGCTTAACAAGAACCGAGTTCAAGGCGTATAGTGTGTCTCCCGTTTCAAACCCGACGAAAGACACTACCAACAACGTTTGGGACCCATGCCATCCCTTTCAACCCAACCTGCCCCACAACGTTCGTCGTCCAATGATTCTCCCAGTTCTCGCGGCTCCAACCATCCTCGCTTGGCGCTCGGTTAGTTCGATTTTTCTTGCATAGAGGTTCAAGAGAGCTTTCTCTTAAACAGAGTTTCGAAGAGCTTTGCAAGGGATACATAACAAAACAGCTGTTTTGGTTCGCACACTTCGCAATATTGGGGCTGTGGGCGTAGCAGCCTTTAATAACCCTGAGCCCTAAACTGGAGCCTCGAGAACAAACCACCCCTAGCACATCGACTTCGGAAGCAAACTTCAGATCAGAAATTAGAGTGTTTAGAGTTTAAGGGCTTGGGAAAGCGTACTGTGTATGTGTTCAACATATTCCTTGATTGAGGGGGGGGCCGCCATCGGACTCTCTAAGAGGAGACAGGTCCTGAAAGTGAGAAAGTGAGGGATTAGGGTTTAGGGTTTAGGGTGTCTGGTCTTCGACCGAGAGCATGACATCACGGTCATCAGGATTGGTAGTAAATTAGCAGAAAAGGTCGACGTGAGAGCAACAATGTGGCTACAGTTAAACAGCAACAGGAAAACCCTAAACCCCTACGATCAAAAACGGAGCCCCAAGTCCTAAAGCATCCACCGCGAACCCTAATGCCTCGACCGTAATGAACCCTACACTCTACTCAGAACCCTTAACCAGGAACCTCAGCCTCCGACTCCTTAAGGGAAATAGATAAACCGTAAGGGTTTAGGGCTTAGGGCTCAGG